ATAGCTCAATGATAGAGCACTTGCCTAGCATTCATGAGGCCTGGGTTCCATTCCAAATGCTGAAAGGAGAAAAAAAAAAGTTTCTGAAATAAAGTTTCTGAAATAAAGGCACATATAATGTAAAACAAAATTCTTTGAATGGCATCCTTAAGGTGTGTGTATTCCACCATATGTAAATGTTCTCTGAAATTACAAATATTGAACTTAAGGATATGAACTTAAGGATATGAATTGCTGAAGAAATTAGGGGTAAAGTGTACTGATGTTTGTTTGCAAATTAATTTGAAATGCACATGTATGGGCTGGGGAATTGGCTCAAGTGGTAGCGCGCTCGCCTGGCATGCGTGCGGCCCGGGTTCGATCCTCAGCACCACATACAAACAAAGATGTTGTGTCCACCGAAAACTAAAAAATAAATATTAAAAAAATTCTCTCTCTCTCTCTCTCTCTTTAAAAAAAAAATGAAATGCACAGGTAAAGGAAGAGCTGATGGACACAGATAGGAAGAGAGACCCTTGATAAGCAAATAGGGCAAAATGGTAGACTCTCCGTGATGAGTAAGTGGGGGTTTGCTGCACACATTTCAACGCTTCTGTCCATGTGTATTATGGTAACATGTCACAGAGAATGCTGATACAGAATCTCAGTTCCCAGGACCTGGGCCCAGCACCAGCTCCAGTGTTTGTCTATTATGGTGTTTGTCAAGCCATGTTGGAACTGTTGGGATCACCTTGACGCCTGACTCTCTCCCAGCTTTTAGCAGGGCCCTTTCTAGATACCCACATATAGTGGTCAAGTTTCCATGCCAGAGGCACACAAGGCTCAGCACTTCCCAACCACAACTCATGATTCAGAAGCCAAGTAGGATAAATATTCTCCTGGCCACTTGAAGGGTGAGCCTTCCAGCACACAGCTCAGGTCAAGAGACATATTTGGGTTCAGTAAGTGTGAGGTGACTCTACAAATGTGCATGCAGCCAGGACCACCTTTGTGTGGCAGAGAAGTCCTTCCTGTTCACCTTTATGCATCTGTCCTCATTTATAGACCTCTGTGCTCAGGGTACTGTATGTGGCTAGGCATGTACCCTCTTTCTTTTCTTTCTTTCTTTTTTGATACTGGGAATTGAATCCAGGGTACATAACCACTGAGTTACAATCGCAGTCCTTTTTATTTTTTATTTTGAGACAGGATCTTGCTAAGTTGCTTAAGGCCTCAGTTGCTGAGGCTGGCTTTGAACTCATGATCCTCCTGCCTCAGCCTCCCAAGCTGCTGGGATTACAGGTGTGTGCCACTGCACCTGGTTTGTGCAGCCATCCTTTTTGTTTTCTTCTTCTTCTTTTCTTTGCATATAGTCATATCATGACTAAGCTACATCCCAGCCCTGGGCAGCGGCCCTCTTGAGGCTGAGGTTTCCTCCTCCAGCTGTACAGTCTGCCCAGCATGTGAGGGTGCAGTCAAGGCATGACTGCAGGGACCTGGGCTCTAGAACACTGAAGAACCCAGCTGCCACCGACCTGGGCTTCAAAACATGGAGGAATTGCCATGGTGGCCTGCCAGCGTCTGGAGAACCTCAGGCCCCATTCCCTCAGAAGACCTGGGCTCTCCATCGGGACCCAGGCCTCAACCCCCAGCCTTTCAGAGGAACAGGATGGGGCAGGGACAGTGAGGGCCGGTGGGAGCCCCTTCCTCATCCATGTGCTGCTACTGATTTTTGCTTTGTTCTGAAGGAAGCCGTCCCTGGAGCTTTGTGTTGGGCAACTCTAGCTCTGTGAAGAAAAAAAAAATGTGGAAACCACACAAGTTCCATTTTTAGAATTGAAGCCTGAGACCAAAAAGGGTGTGACCTGCTGGCAGCAAGGCAGGACTGAGCCCAGATTAGCCAAGATCCGGATGCCAAGCTGGCACACCCTGTGATTCGTCCTCATCCCCAAGCCTCCTGCTAGGCCAGGAGGGGCCATGGAAGGAGAAGGTGGAGAAACAGGCAGGACAGAGGTGGCAGTGCCCACCACACAGACTGCCTTTGTCAAATGGGAGAGTAATTTCAAGGGAGCAAGGGGAGAGCTTGCTCCTCTCTCTGTCTGCTGGAGGAACCCTTACTCCTGCTTTGTGGGGTGGGTGAAGGGCCAAGGTCCCTTGCTGCTTCCTTAGGGCACAGCCTTTTCTGCAACCCTCCAGTCGTTTGCTTGCCCCAGAGATGATCAGAGGTACCAGCATCTGCATAAATAAGGGTTTAGGCTTCATCTTGGTAACCCCCAATTTTTGTCCTCAGGGTCCTGTTCCTCTAGGCTTACTGGGAGGGGCAGAGTAATGGGTTTGCTGCCTTGCAGTAGCCCTGCTGAGCTCCCACTGGACACCAACTTCTTGGCTCTTCAGGTGCTGCATGGGAGGCATGGAGGGTTTTGTCTTCATTCTGAAATGTGGATGCCTCCAGAGGACAACAAGCAAATGCTGGAACTTGCAGGACCCCTGCAGCATCTGCAAAATGGGGACAGTGGGCCGTGCATTGTGGCACACGCCTGCAATCCTAGTGGTTTGGGAGGCTGAGGCAGGAGGATCACGAGTTCAAAGCTAGCCTCAGCAACAGTGAGGCACTAAGCAAATCAGTGAGATGCTGTTTCTAAGTCAAATACAAAATAGGGGTGGGGATGTGGCTCAGTGGTCCAGTGCCCCTGAGTTCAATCCCCAGTGCAAAAAAAAAAAAAAAAAAAAAAAAAAAAAAACCAAACCCCAAACCTCAAAAAATGGGGACAGTGGTGTGGTGCCCTGCTGAGTTGCTGTGAGGGTCAAAGCACAGGTAGGTGGTTCAGTAAGTGGGGTGCTCCTCATCTCAGAGAGGGACCCCAGTTGAGGATGAGTTGGAAACTCATGTGCTTAAGCCCCCTGCTGGGCAGGCATCCTGAGAGGCTCCACTAGAACTGCTGGATATTCAGGAGAGTAGAGCAGAATGTCCATGTCTTTTGGCCCTAGACAGTACTTGGGGAGGGAAGGGGGGACTTCAGACATTAATGGCTCCAAGGACTGGCAGGAACTCTTGAGGACCACGGCAGAACTCAGGGACTCAAAAGGATCTTTCATGTCTATTTCATCAGAGGAGGCTGGGCCAGGCAAAGAAGACCTGGAGAAGGGACTGTCTCATCTTCCCATCTTACATTTGCCTTCATAGCCTCTGTGTAGTCTGTGGCAGGAGCTGGGCAGGGCTTGGGGTTGATGAGGACACAGGTGCTTCCTGTTCTACTGCCTGTAGGCTGAAGGGGAGGCGGTCCTGTAAACTGACCACAGTAAACTTCAGGGGAAGGGACAGGTAGGAACTCAGAGGAAGGCTTGTTCAGGCTGGCATGGGCAGGGAAGGCTTTTTGAAAGAAATGACTCTTGGCTGAGTCCTAGAGTACCTGGGGGAACATTCTAGTCAGAGAGGACACCACCGTAGGGGTGAGATGTTGGGGAAGGGCAGGGTGAACTCAGGGACAGGTGAGGGTGTCCAGGGGACCAGAAGTTGGTAGCATTAGGTTTTGTGGGCCCTGTAGACCAAGCTAAGGAGTTTGGACTTGGTGCTGAGAGCAGCATGGCAGGACTGGTGTATGTGTTGGATGACTTGGCCTCTTCTTCTTCCCCAACACTCCAGGCTCTTCCTGCCCAAAGACGTGCTGGAGTGCTCTATGCTGGCCTTGTGGGGGCTTCTTCCTATCCTCTGGGTCTCAGATCTCATAAAGGTCAGATATTTCCCTGTCTTTACCACCTGTCTCTCCCCACTAGAACTGAATTCCTGGAGAGTAGGGATTTTATCTGCCTGGTTCATCAGTGCATCCTGTTCTTCTTCCCAGAAGGACCACAGAAGATGAACAGACACTGGTTGAGGGGACAGAGGAACAAGAAAAATAAAATGGTGGCAATGGGGATAGAAGGAAAGAAATGTCAAAGAGATAGAGTCTTGGCTACCCATACAGAGTGCAATCAGAGAGAAGACAAGTCATCATGGGATCTTGCTGGGGTGACAGGAAGCAAGGGGCCCAGAGGCCCAGAAAAATAAACGGGCTCCTATTCAGCTGGCTCTTCTCTTTCCAGGGGAACTTTGCCATGAACCGGTGGATGCTTTGCAGGTGCCATTTACGGCGACTATTGTGCATTGTCCAACCGGCCCTATGGCAATGGTTGAGGAGCAGGTGACATCTAACCTGCAGCTTATCTGGAATCACTGAGGGCAGTGTGGAGAGGGTTTGATACTGGCCCTGTCTATGCCTTTCCCTGCTCCGATCCGAGCTTTTCTGCTACCCATAGGAGCTCCCACCCTTGTTCGCCCATCTTTGCATTTATAAAACAGACCAAAGTAACGGGGCTCCCTGGGAAAACCCAGGAGCCTCTGTCTCCTTATTGCTGCTGGCATAACTGCAGGATGACCAGGGCTGCAGGCGCTGCTGGTACTATCTAGGAGGGCAGCAGTTCCCACGGCAGGGCGGGGGCTGGTACCTGCACCCCTCCGGGTGAAAAGCGCCTGGAAGGTTTTCCAGCCCTGGCAGGCAAGCAGAGCCTTGTCGCTGACTCAGCCCTCCAGCCGGCTGCTGAGTCAGGCCTGCAGCTGGGGTGCCTGCAGTGGGAGCGCAGGGGCTTCCTGGCCAGCGGGCACGCCCTGCAGGCCTGGCGGAGGCCGAGCGCTCGGCCAGGCCCCGAGCCTCCTCCCTTCCTTTAGGAGGCGCGGACCGCGCGCGGACCGAGTGCCGGGCGACCACCGGAGCTCGACCCCTAGCGTCTCGTGGCCCCGGGCGGGGTCTCGCGGAAGACCGGCGTCGTTGCGGACTCGCAGGCTTGGCTCCCCGGCAGGAGCCTAGCGCGCTGCCCCGCGCAACCCGTGGGACCAGCCGCCGCCCAGCCCCACACGCGCCTCAGTTTCCCCGGCCGCGCCCCGCCCCGCGGCGCGAGGGCGGGTGACGTCACGGCGCGCGGCATTGTGGGCGGGCGGCGCCGGGACGCCATTTTCGGCGGCGGAGCAGGCGCTGGGAGTGTACGGGGTGCGCGGGCCGGCGGCCGGGGATGCAGCGGGGCGGCCGCGGAGGCGCTCCTCGCTGGTGACCGCGGCGCCGCGCCTCGGGCGGCCGCTCCCAGCCGACAGCGCGAGCGAGCGCGGCCCTCCGAACGGACGGTGAGTGCGCGGCGCGGACACGGGCCCGGCCCTGCCCACCGCGGCCCTGGAGGCGGCTCCCGTCCCTTCCTCACCGCGTCCCTCCGGCCTCGGTCCCGTGACCTCGTCACCCGCGCCCCTCCAGGCTCGGGTACCTGTCCCCTTCTCGTCCGCTACCCTCCGGCCTCAGGTCCCGTCATCTCGTCACCCGCGCCCTTCCAGGCTCGGGTCCATGTCCCCTCCTTGTCCGCGCCCCTCCGGCCTTGGTCCCTGTCCCTTCCTCCTCCGCGTCCTTCCTGCCGCGGGTTCCAGTTCCCTCCTCGTCCGCACCCTTCTGGGCGCGAGTCCCTGTCCCCTCTCCGCCCGCGTCGGTGCAGGCTCGGGTGCCTGTCCATCTTCATTCGCTCCCGTCAAGGCTCGGTTTCTGCCTGACCCCTCCCCATTCGCGTGCCTCGGGTCCCTGTCCCCTCTCCATCCGTGTGCCTCGGGACTGGGGTTCCCGGCGGGCGCTGCCGCGACAGCTGTGTGCCAGGAGCCGCGCGGCTGGGCTGTGGCCGCCTGGGGAGGCGGCGAGGGGCGGCGGGCGGCTTTGTCCATGGTTCCCTTCCTGCCCGTCCCCGCCTTTCCGCGGCACCGCCCTGGGCGACACTGTCATCCGCGCTGTCAGGCGGGCCTTTTCTTTCACTGACCGGGTTCAGAATGTCCCGGGCCATCGTGGCCTCTGAACGTGCAGCAGCCCCAGTTCTGGAGTGCTTTTCTGTGTCGCACGTGGCGTTCCCTTTTCCTTAAAACATTAAAGCATTAAAAAAATAACGCGTAATGGAGTGGTTGGTTTTATAACAAGGGTTTTAGACCATTCCAGGTCTATTGTGTTAGAATTATTTCAGCCTGCTATTTTATTTAAATGTGTTAATAATATGCATATTAAGTGACAGCAAGGAGCACCTGCGAAAATGGTATCTTTAAAAAGTGTGAGAACAAAGTATTTGAAATATACCGTTTAAAACTACTGTGTAAAAGGCCGGTTGCATCTTTGATTCTTTTTGTTAAATTCCAAGGCTGTTTGTTTGTTTGTTTTTCCCTTGGCAGCATGACTAAGCCTTTGATCAGAATCAACTCTGAATACATTGTAATAGGTCAGTGAAAAACCCATTAGGAAATTGGTACGACCTTAAGTCTTCTTAATCATATTACAGCTAAGGATTTACTTCTTTGGTGGACTGATTGTAAGCTTCAGTTATGGTGGAACATTTGACTCATTGCTGTTTCTTAAACATTTGTAAGGGTAAAGTGGTACTAAATATTTAAAATTTCACATTATATGTGTGAAGACAGGCTCTCTGCAAACCATCAAAGAATGCAACATCATCTTGCAGTTGAGCCTGGCAGCCCTGTGATGGTCCCCATTGGTGTGAGACTGGGCGGTAGCTTCACTGCAGCTCCAGTTACTCTCCTGCCTTGGCAGTGTCTCCTGAAAGCACAGTGCATGAGAAGAGTATAAAGGATGGGGATTTTCTTTAGCAAGGAGGGAGGAAACTTTCCTGGGGAGAGGGACACAGTATCCTAAGTATCTCACAATTAGCACTTACTTTAGTTATCTAAATGTTTTCATTTTTTTTTTTTTTTAATGGATAGCATGACTTTATTTGTTTCATTTTATGTGGTGCTCAGGATCGAACCCAGGGCCTCACACACCCTAGGCAAGTGCCCTACCACTGAGCTGCTGCCCCAGCCCCATGTTTTCATTTTTAAAAAGATACATTCTTAAGCATGTTCATCATGTTGGAAAAAGGTGTATAACTTTCTAAAGGGTATAAAGAATTTTGAAATGTGATGGTTTAAACAGAAAATGAGAAATATAAATTTGAAAGTTGAGTTAATGTAGGATTAATTTTCCCCCCCGATACTGGGGATTGAACCCAGGGACACTCTACCACTGAGCTATACCCCCAATTTAAAAAAAAAAAATTTAAATTTCAAGGCAGGGTCTTTAGCAAGCTAGCTTTCTTTCTTCTCTCTCTCTTTCTATCACTGGGGATTGACCCATCGAACACTCTACTGCTGAGCTGTAACCCCAGTATTCCTCTTTTTTTTTTTTTTTTAATTTTTTAATATTTATTTTTCAGTTCTCGGCGGACACAACATCTTTGTTTGTATGTGGTGCTGAGGATTGAACCCGGGCTGCACGCATGCCAGGAAAGCGCCCTACCGCTTGAGCCACATCCCTAGCCCCCTCTTTTTTTTTTAATATATTTTTTAATTTTAGTTGTAAATGGATTTTTTTTTTTTTTTAATGCGGTGCTGAGGATCGAACCCAGGGCCTCACACAGGCAAGTGTGCTACCCCTAAGCCACAACTCCAGCCCCAGAATTCCTCTTTTTTTCAAAAAATTTATTTCCAGACTGGGAATCACTACTAAGTTGCCAAGACTTGAACTTGCGGTCTGGAGCTGATAGGATTACAGGTGTGGTACCATGCTTGGCTAGGAGCTCAAATACTCCTGCCTCAGCCTTCTAAGTCACTGAGATTACAGGAGTGGGCCACTACACGTAGCTAAGATTAGTTCTTAGTAGATGAGTGAAATATCAGAAACCAAGATTTTATGTTACAAAGACAGGATTATTAAAAGCCTGAGCAATAGGACCTGGTGAGTTTTTTTAAATTTTTTATTTAAATTTTTTTTCTCTTAGTTGTAGTTGGACACAATATCTTTATTTTATTTATTTATTAAAAAATCTGTTTTTTTTTTTTGTTTTGTTTTTTGTAGTTGTAGATGGACAGCACACCTTTATTTTATTTGTTTATTTTTATATGGTGCTGAGGATCAAACACGTGCTAGGCAAGCGCTCTGCCACTGAGCTACAGCCCCAGCCCTTATTTATTTATTTTTATGTGGTGCTGAGGATCAAACCCAGCGCCTTGCACATGCTAGGCGAGTGCTCTACCACTGAACCACAACCTCAGCACCCCTTGGTAAGTTTTTGACAGGTTTCAGGGAAGGCATGGCTTTAAATGACTTGAGAATGCCCTGAATGGCAGGCACTCCTAAGTGGCCAGAGATTTGGAGAAGAAAGCTGACAGTCAATCTGGCAGCGCAGAGCCATAGAGGTTAGAGACAATTGATAGGCAGCTATTCCTCAGAGACACTAGAAGGAAAGTGTCAATTGTCAGGGTGGCCTGGAGCTATGGGCTGAGTGGAGGAAACAGGCCCAAGGGCAGTCTGCTGTGGAGGACCTCAGAGGCTGCTCTTCTTCTGGGGCTGCAAGGAGGATTGGAGGACTAAGGAGCTAGGTGGCATTTAGAATGGACAGGGCCTGGGTCTGTGACTTAACATAGTGAGGCAGGTGGTGTGGCTGGTGCTGGTGGCTGGGATGAGCAAGTGAGGCAGCTATTCACCTGAAGTGAGGCCTTGAGTCTGGAATTAGGGCAGTGGCAGGAGGTGCAGAGGAGCAGTTTCATCCAGGGAAATGATTTAGGGTACTGTGGGCTGCCTTGGTGCCGGGGAGAGGCTGCAGGTGGAGGTAGAGGGATGGCAAGGATGCCCCATCCTTGTACCAGAGCAGGCCTGTGCAAGCACCAGTGGGCCATGTCACTTCTCTGCTAAGATTCTCAACAGTGCCCTCTTGGACCTGGTATTGTCTGGCCTCCCTCTGGCCCCACTCAGGTACCATACCCAGCTGTGGAGTTCTGAGCAACATGCTCCACTCTGTAGTCTCTGCTTTGCCTGACTTTTCTTCTCCTCCTCATTACCTAAATGCTGCATTGTTTTGCTCTATTGTTTTCTTGTTTTGTTTACTGTCTTGTGCAGTCCTCATCTCAGGAAGGGGCAGGGCTTGGCACCCAGTAGGCACTTCATAGGTGTTTGCTGAAGGAATGCATCTACAATGACTTCTTCATCTCTAACTTGGTGACTCATTGGTTGGTGACACCCATCACAATAGGGAAAGTGGGAGGAGGACAAGATTGTCTGACTTCTGGATATGATAAATCTGGGGTGCTTGTGGGGGCCCCAGTGGGCAGCTGGAGATGAAGTTCTGGAATTAGACAAGGGTTGAGGCTGGTGGTCTAGATTACTCCATGTTGAGGGCCAGGTGAAGTGACCTTCTGGTATATAGACAGTGGAGCAGCCCTAAGGAGAAGAACACTTTGGGACACTGGGAAAAGAGGTCACCATTCAGTAGCTGAGAGGTCGAGGAGGAATAGGACTGAAAACATCTGTTGGGTCTGGCCTCTAGACAAGTTACCAGCAATCTTCCAGGTTTCCCTGGAAGTAGGAGCCCAAGCCAGAGCCCTATGTCCTAACCAGGGTATCCTTATGTCTTTCCACCCAGGTAGCAAACTCGTGAGTCAGAAATGAATTATTGTTTTGTTTTGGTTTTAACGTATGTTTGGAGGCAGATGAAAGCAATTTGGATCTGTACTTTTTAAATATTCTTGATGTGCTATCCACACTTATACAAAATGGATAAGTGAATATTAATACAAATACAACAAATTTTTTTTTCCCCTACTACTGGGGATTGAGCCCAGGGATACCCTACCATTCAGCTATACCTCCAGCCCTGTTTTAAATTTTACTTTGGTACAGGGTTTCACTAAGTTGACCAGGCTGACCTGGAACTTGCTATCCTCCTGCCTTGGCCTACTGACTTGCTGGGGTTACAGGTGTGTGCCACCACATCTGGCAGCAAAACCAACATTTTAGGCAGAGCTGTGCATGTGGATAAAGTAGAAGTCACTTTCTTGGTTCTAAAATATCCCAGTTAGCCCAGCTGAGATTGTGGGCTGTTCTTGACTTCCACTGCACATCATGGGTGTTTGTGTCCAGGCACCTCTGGAGATCACTGCACTACTATCACTAAAATGTCACAGTGATGCCAGCACTGTTCCAGTAAGATCAGAGCTGTGGCTACCTCCATCTTCCTGGTGAGGAGTGGGAGGTGAGAGGGCATGTTAGTGCTGCGAGGTTAGGGTGCTAACCCATGCATCTGCTTCCACAGTCAAGCTTGGAAGCACCTTGC